CCAGGTGGGAGAGCCCTGTGTTAGCAAGCTCTAATTTCACCGGTTGGCTGGGACCGGAACAGATTGGGAGTCGGGCTGGTATTAGAGCTGTAACTACAAGGGACAGGGAGCAAAGAGCACAAGCTTCAGAAGTAGGCAAAGACGAATTTTGCCCTGAGCTCTCCACTGACCAGCTCTGTGACCTGGCTCAGCCCCTCTGGGCCTTGACTTTCTTATCTGTAAAATGGGGGTGATAATACCGACCTTGGGGGCTGTTGGCAAATAGTAGCGACGGCAGCGATAAAGTCAACAGTACCCCAGGGAGGGTAGCAAACTCCAGAACTACTCTAAGAGTTACATGAAGGCAGGGAGACCTTCTCTCCATCCCCACATCTGTGTTCCTTTTGTTTAGAATGTGTCAACTTCAGATTGGTGGGATCTTTTCACTTTACCAATAACTGGTCACAGTTCAGTTGGAATTCACATGTAGATTTTCAAAGTGGGTGGTATGCATGGCAACGTCTCTCTGTCTCCTCCAGAACTCCATGGTGCCCATCATCTCCTGGGTTGCCCAGGGCTTCAGCAACAAGCTTGACAGCATTAAGGAGTAAGCAGTCAGTGGCACAGGGAGGTCTTTGTCTCCTCTAACTACTTTGAGATGAGCTCAGTATTTAGGGACCTAAGCAGAGAGGACAGGAAGCCTCAATCCCCCATTCAATTCATCTCGGCCTCCCTACCCACAACCCAAATGAAAAGGAGAAACCTAGTGACTCCTTCCCTGTTATGGATTCATAACTAGTCAAGATGTCTATTACATAATCCTCCAAACCAACCCACTTACGTCCTGCCATTTAGGCCATCCAACCACGAGGCAAGGTTATCTTGCTGGGTTTGTCAATGAGGCAATGCACCGGGGACAGAAAATACCATGTTCAGGACCATGGACTTGACAAGTGAGAGAGCTGTCTTGATCGCATCCTGTCTGGCCCCAAATCCCAGGCTTCCTTCCTTGTGACTTCCCTGTTGATTAAAGTCTCACCCACAAGTCCTAGCTCTACTACCTACCTCCTGAGCAGCCTCAGTCTCTTCAACCGTGAAATGGGGACATAATCACAAGATGCCTCCACATCAGGGGAGCTGGACCATAATTAGGGAAGAGAGAATACCTATGGAAATGCCAAGCAGGGCCCTGCATGGAGTAGAGGATCAGGAATGGTTGGTTTCCTCTCCTTCATGGGGCCACTGGGTCCATAGGCAGTCTAAGCTGTAACACACTGTGCAAATGTTAGCAACGAAGATTAATTTCACAGGACTCATCTTTATCTCAGGATCCCACATACCCCTCACCCCCTGCTGCCCGCTCCCTCCTGGAAATCCAGGTTTGAAATGTACGCCTTTAACTCTTACAAACCAACGCAACTGACTGTAATTCTAGACTCTTAGCAACCCAGTGGGTCCAACCCTGCCATTCGCGATGGGGCTGTCAGCACTTACCGGGAGCGCAGAGCGATGCCTGGGAGGATGGCAGGTCTGAAGCAGCAGCGAGCTGGGCCTGACAGTCCGGACTTAAATAAGTTGTATTTTCTGGCTGGGGACGATAAGACAAGACATCTGAAGCGTGTGTTACACTTACACATCATTATGCTCCCGAAATGGGGAAGGAGAGCTGCATCTTGTCCCAAGTTTGTAGCAAAATTGTGCAGTATATACAAAGCTCTCAGGCCTTTGATGTTGAGCAGAGAGGAAAATAATCCTCTCAGACACACCAGGCAAAGCTGGGGGCTCCGCAGCACAGTGAGGGAGGCTGGGGGAGGCACGCAGCCAGCATGAGCCTACTGCTGTCTCTGAGCCCCTTCTCCTGCCCCCACGAAGGTAGACTGTCTTAGCTCCCGAAAGGATTATTTCCTCTAATACCTTCATGCAGAAGCAAGCAAAAATGCTTAGGTACAATGAAGAGGGAAGCTGAGAAGGGCCTCAGCAGACAAAGGGAGGAGAGGGAGGGGAGGGAGGGGAAGAAGGGGAGGGAAGGGAAGAAGGGGAGAGAGGGGAGGGAGGGTGGGACAAGTGTCAAAAAGGCTGGCCAGTGCCAAAGGACGCCTCCCAGAGGTGGGCAAGGGGATGTGGGTTGGCACACCCTGGAGTCCCTTTGTTTATTCAACAAAACAGACACAGTCCCTACCCTCTCAGAGCTTGCAGTCTAGTGAAGACATGTCCAAGAAATAGCCACACGGATAATCAGCTAGTTACATGCTTTGATATGCACCATAAAGGGACAAAAGGGGAAGTGCGAGGTTATAAGACAGGACGTCCCAATTGAAATGGAGGCTGGGAGCAGGGACGCAGGGAGAGACTGACACCACGGGCCCCTGCAGGAGCCTATTTAGTAGATCTACGAGGAAAAATCCTAGTAGAACACCCAGAAGTCACCCCAGATGTGTTCAAGCCCTTGCCAAGGATGTGCTAAATGTAACATTCTCTCCTCTGTTCATTATGGCGGTCCCAGGGAACATCTCTCTGGAGGACAAATTCATTAGCCAAGTCTGGTTGCTATAAACAATAGCAATGATAAAGCTCAGGGGTTTTTTTTGGAAAGTCATGTTCCAGCTGTCCTCCCCCACCATGAAGCTAGAGGAGCAGGGCTTGGCTGTCCTGAAACAGTGCGGCAGGTCAGGGACTCAGACATTTTACACAGTGAAGAAAACATGAACTCTGATGTTTTGCCGGGGCTTCCCACGGGTCCTGAAGGCAGGTAGCAGGCTTTGTACTTCTTTGCAATCCCCATAATCCTCACACATGGGAGGAGCCCATGCCTATGACTACTGATGGGCTGATGGAAAAAGCAAGGCACAGAGAAAGAGACTAGGGCTCAGAAAGGTCCCAGTGACAAAGACCCAGGAGAGCACAGCCAGAAAGAGCATGCGCATTAGACATTCATGGATTGCATATCTCAGCATCTCTACCTAATTTGTGTGACCTTAGGCAAGTCACTTAGCATCTCTGGGCCTCAGTTTCCTCCTCTGCACTATGGGAGCAGAAATTCCCAGAACAGTCATGGTTGCAAGAGTTAAAGGAGATAACATAGGTGAGTGTCTAGCAGAGTGTCTGGCATATCGTAGAAGCTTCTCTTCCTTCCTTCCATCTGACTCTCAAGATCTGCATAAGAAAGGCAGCCTCTAGCACTTGCCCCTGTGATTTATCTGCCCCCCACACTGAAGGGTGGGAGGCCAGAGAACCCCCCCCCACCCCACACCGTGGCCTCCATGCTGCAGGCAGGGCAGCTCAGTGGAAGCAAGGCCAAGGAGAGGTCTGGTCCCAAACCTCAGTGGCTACAGGAACCCAATACAGTTGGCCTGGCTCTCTTCCAGCCAATTTTGCCAGATGTAATTTGGCTTCTGCTCGAGGTTCCAAAGCAGTTATGTAAGCATAATAACCCATAGCATTTGTAGAAAGCTTTTATGGTTCTCAAAACACGTTGTGCTTGTATTACCCCAGCTGATCTTCTCGGTAACCTTGAGAAGTGGTTAAGGAAAGGGCAAGAACTCCCATTTTATAGATGGAGAAGTTGAGGCTTGGAGGGTTTATTTGGTTCATGACTAATGAGTGGCAACATCAAACTTGGACAAAGATCTCTGCATTCCTTGCCTTGGGCTCTTCCCACACCATCACACCATCGCACTACATCATTGTAATCATGTAATCATCAGGCAAAAGTGGCCCAAATACCTACTGGGGGCCAGGCCATGTAGTAAGTCCTTGGATTCAGAAGTGAGAGGCAGAGTCAAGTTCAGGAGAGATGTAGAACCAACTATTTGGGATGTGATAACTGTCATGGTGAAGGAGTCAGGGGAACAGGGAGGAAGGACATAGCCCAACTTGGTCCAGGGACTCAGGAAGGCTTCCTGGAGGAGGAGATGCATCAGTCCCATCTCAGACAACAGTTAGGAAGAGGAGTGAGAGGAGTCGCAGATAGCAAAAGCAGCAAATAGAAAGAAGTGTGTGAACCAGCAGGTTATCTGATCTGATTCCATCCACCCACTCAGGACTCACTCATTCCTTCATTCATTCAACATATATTTCTGGAGCACCCCCATGTGCCAGGTACCATACACAGCGAATAAGCAGATGTAGTCCCTGAATGCACAGAGTTTCCCTTCTAGTGGATTCCCGTGGACACGGATGGGGAAAGGTAGGATGGAGTGGGCAGAGGGCATCTGTATGGTGGGCCTGGATTTAAGCCTATGGGTGCTGGGGATCACTGATTAATTTTAAGCACAGGATTAGCAAAGTGAGGTTAGCATTTCAGAAAGCAGCGAAGTTAAAGTATGGGCTCAAGGAGGCAGTCTGGAATCCAGGAGCCCAGGCAAGCAATGAATGGGTCCTGAGTTATGGCAGTGCCGTAGGAAAAAGGCGGAATGCATGCCGGATGTAGAAACAGCCTTGACAGGCCTTTCTGGTTAATTGGACATGGAGGTGAGGAAGAGTGGACAGCCACTCTGAGGGTCTGGCTCAAACCTCTTGGAAGGGGATGATGCTATTCCCTGGGACAGGAGTGCAGCAGAACCATCTGGTGGGGCAGGGAACCTGAGGAAGTTTGTTCCTACTGGGACTCGCTGAGTGTCTAGGGACTCTGGGTCCCGCTGAAGTCACACTCATCAGGCACTGTGATCAGTGAGTCTGAAGTCCAGGAGAGAGCTCGGGGCTGGAGGTACAGATTGGCTTACAAATGATGTTCAACATTTGGAAGATGGACAGGACCACCCGGAGCAGGGGGTGCCCAGGGGGAGAAGACACCAGATCCCATCGCAACAAACCCCAAAATGTGTCCATATTTTCTTTGATACCTGAATCCTGCTTGGCAAAAGTCAGGCCATTAGCCACAGTGAAGAATCATGGCTCCTCCAGAGGGCTTGACTGGGACGGACCGTGGGGGCTCTGGCCTGATGTCATCTCACCTCTTAGGTCTCACCAGTTTCTAGTCTGAAGTCACTCATGTGATTCTCTCCTTCTCCTCTCTCCCTCAGGTGTTTACAAAATATGGAAAGTGTTACATGTTTAACTCAGGCGAGGATGGCAAACCTCTGCTCACCACGGTCAAGGGCGGGACAGGCAACGGGCTGGAGATCATGCTGGACATTCAGCAAGATGAGTACCTGCCCATCTGGGGAGAGACAGGTGAGCTGGGTACGGGGACCGGGGTTGTGGGTGATGGCAGAGGGGTACAGGACTCTGAAAGATCGGTTTGATTTGGGTGGGCTGTCTTGGCCCGGGCTTTGAAGGACGGCTCTCCATCAGCAGGACTACAACATAGAGGTGAAGAGTAGGGATGTCCCTCATGGACTGTGATACTCAGGGCTTCCTCAGATTTCAGTAGATGGGAGAGGGGCAGATGACAGGAATACTGGAAAGGGAAGGCAGATAGGCTGAGGGGGTTGTTGGGAAGGAGGCATGGAGAAGATATGATTGTGCAGGCAGGTGGCTTGATTTCAGGAGAAGAGGAAGACATGGACCATCTCCTTCCTCTTCCAACCATTTTGACTACCCCAACCCAGCCAGGAGGGCCAGCAGAAGGGAAAACATCTCTTCCCACTAGGGGAAGGTGGAGGAGCTTGCTGGGTTGGAAAGCCAAAGGGCATGGACTCAGGGACTTGGCACCAGGCCTGCGTGAGCCCCTGGGGGAACCTGTGTGTACAGGCCCCTGAGTAAGTTCATCCACACATTCATCTGTGTATTTATTCAGCAAACTATTCATTAGCCATGTGTATGTCAGGCTTTGCACCACAGTAAGGACATTAAGGTGAAAAAGACCAGGTCCTTGACCACAGCCTAGAGGAGGAGACACACGATTACAGTCCAGTGTGACATGAGTGTACCTGCACGAGGAGGACAGCGGCCTCCTCCTGGGTGGGGTGGGGTGGTGGGTGTTCAGGGAAAGCATCGTGGTGCCCCGGGCATTTGAACAGAGTCTTGGGATTATCCTGGATTATACAGGAGGGTCCTCACAAGAGGAGTGCAGGAAGATCAGACAGAGGAGAAGGTGAGGGAAGCAGAGATTGGAGTGATAAAGCCAGTAAGCCTAGGGACGCTAGTGGCTTCTAGAATTCCCCCAAGTGGAGAAAGTAAAGAGGTGCCCAAGAGTGGAACATGGTTGCAAAGTAGACCCAAAGCAAGAGTAGTGTTGTGTTCAGGGTGTCATAGTGGGGAGTGTGGAAGGGGGTCAAGGATAAGCCTGGGGAGGGGCCTCCATGGGAGAGGAGAAGGGAGAGAAGATTCTAGCAAGGACACCCTGGGCCCTCAGATTAGAGCTGAGGTGAGTGAAGGCCAAGTAGCCCAGCCCCCACCTCTTCCAACCCCCAGCCCATGACTCCTGGAGCAGCCCCCCAATCCTGAGCTCTTGCCCTGACCATGCCCAGGCATTCCAGGCATCTGAGAGCAGCCAATGCTTCCACCCCAGGAATGACTGACTACAAATTCTAAGCTCCCTCCACCACCACTCTCCTTCCATGACTCTCGCTCGATCTCCCTGTGGGGAGAGGTGAGCATGACCACTTCCCTCACTGTGTGGTGGTCCTCCTGCTCCTACAGTCATGGAGTAAAATGGTCGCCACACACATCACTCCAACAATGCCTTCTGGTGGCTCACCTCAGGCTGAATCCGGGCCATCTGCTGCTTACCGAGGAGATGCCTGGTTGGCTCCATCCACTTCTTTAAATTCAGTGCCCCTGCCTTCCAGCAAACAGAGGGTGGTCTGGGTCTGTGCTGAGCTCTGGCATCCCCGAGAGCTGACCAGCAGAGCTTGGCTTTCCAGAACATCCCTGAGACCAGTCTGTGTCCTGGGACCATGGGCATCTGTAGACAGCCCTGAGTCCTAGGAACTGGGTCTTTGTCTCCCAAAAGAATCTCTGCCTTGCAGACACTGGAACATCTTTGCTCACCAAACCATCTGTGGAAAAGGGAGAAACAGTCAATAAAAATAGGTCCTGAAGACCTCATACCCACACTCTGACTACTGGTTAGTTATCTTTGCATGGTGATGGTGGATTTCCTGCCCTCGATTTGGGAGCAAAAACAAACATGTACACCCACACATGCACACACTCACACAATGCCAGGCACCTCGTCACACATTCTCTACACGGCACAGCTCCCTGTGGGGTCTGACCTTAGGTTGGAGCACTGGCCGCTGATAGCCCCTGTGGTTCCAACCACAGGACCTACCCTCTGGGAATACGCACTCTGCCTCCTGAAGCCGTAGATGGATATAGCAGGAGAGCTCTGAGATCATCTCTTCCAGCCAATCCCCTTGCTCCTTGGTAGAGGGAGAACTGAAGCCTGGTGTGGTGAGCTTCTAGACATCACACAGGAAAGTCATGGCCAAGCCAGGGCTCTACTGACTCAAGCTTTCCGACCACCAGTTAGCCCCAGTGGACCATAATCGTGCTCAAGGAACTGCTGTGTGCCTAACACCATGTAGGGCATGGTCAGAGAAGCAGAAGACACCAGACCCTGCCTCTCGGGAGCTTATCATCTCAGTAGGCAGCCAAGCACCACACAGAACCCACAAGAGGACAGCTTTGCTCCTGCCAGCAGCTTGAGCTATCCTTTAGGACCCACCAGCCCCCCTCACTTAAACCATGGCCTCCGGGGCTAGGTGGCTGGGGAAGGAGGCTGCATGAAGAAAAAGGGACTGAGAGCAAGGGCAGGGGCCAGAAGAAACTGGTCAGAGGAGAGACTAGTCGGTGCTGTCCAATAGAACGTTCTGCAGAAATGGAGGGAACGCTCTCTAGGGGCACTGTCCAGTCCAGTCACCACAAGGGCGCTTTTGAAATGTGCTCATGGGAATGAGGAACTGAGCTTAATAGCATGTCATTTTGATTAATTTAAATTGTCATGGGTTGGGGGGTGGCTAGCGGCTACCACATTGGGGAGCACAGCTTCAGACTGCTCTTGTCGGTTTCTTGGATGTTTGCCTCTACAGCCAGCTCCCACAGTCTTCTGGGACTGTAATATTCCTCAGTTCTGGCCTTCCCCCCGACCAAGGCCATGAGGGGTAGAGAGGGCCCTTTATCCCCACTTACCAGGGAAAGAGGCTGAGGTTAGGCGACTTCACCCTGGCCACCCAGCCTGATGGCCTGAATCCTTACATCCAGGCTCTCTCAACTGGACATTTCTTCAGGCGAGAAGTCACTGAGCAATGAGCACCTCTTGGACACTCTGGTCACCTCAAAACCTCTTGTGTCCTGGGCCAGTGAGGAGTGAGCTCCGTGGGGGTAGGAGTGAGGGGTACACACCTACTGAAGGATGAGAAGTAGACTCTGACAGGTGAGGGTTGCTTGTCCGTGAGGCCACCTGAGGAAGCATGGCCATCTTGCTCCTTGCTCTTTGCTCCAAAGGACTTTGGGCACCATGAGGCCTAGTCCTGCCATGATCTTCAAGAGGGAGGCTGCCTTCTGGCCCTCCAAACTCTGTGGCCCCACAGACACCATCTTTCTTCCTTGGCATTTCTGCCTCCTCTCAATTCCCAAGTCTTCGTTGGAGATACCTAGGTGATGGCGGAGAAGAGAGGAGTTGAAATATGGTTGTTGAGGGAGTAGCCACAGACAGCTTGATGGCAGGCAGTGTAGTAGGACAGGAAAGTGCCATTACAGAGTCAGACCCAAGATGAAATCCCCAGCTCTTCCTTTACCAGCTATGTGGCTGAGGACACGTGAATGGGCCTCCATGTCCTCATGCCTAATAGAGGTCAACCACACAAATAAACTGATAGATTTTTGGGATGGCTGAAGGAAGCACATGATAACTCTCTGCAGACTGTAGGCAGTGGAAGGGTGATAATGATGACCATGGTGGGGGGGGCGGGGATTGTCAAACTGTCCCAGAGCCAGAGCCTATGCTAAATATCCCAGTCCTGTAACAGAGGTCCTGAAGTAATTCAACATCCGTGAATCTCATTCTGCTCAAAGCAGAGCCTCTGGGACACCCTTGCGTTGCTTCATGGGTGGCTTCATTGCTCAGAAATTTAAGGGAGCAGTGAGCGAACCACTCCTTCGGGTATAATTCTGGCAGACAGGGAGGACCTTTGATGCCCGAGTGATTTTGACAAAGGTACCCCCTTTGAGTCCCCCCCCCCCAGCCCTATGGGCTCACACTTAGTGAAGCAAGATGACTATGAGAATTATCAAGTATCCTTTCCTCCAGGCTGACAACATACCACACCACACCAGGATGCTCTCTTGCCCAAAGAACCTTATGCACATCACCCTGGAATGAAGCTATTTTATTTTATTTTATTTTATTTTAAGATTTTATTTATTTGATAGAGAGAGAGATCACAAGCGGGCAGAGAGGCAGGCGAGGGTGGGGAGGGGAAGCAGGCTCCCTGCTGAGCAGAGAGCCCGATGCGGAGCTCGATCCCAGGACCCCTGAGCCGAACGCAGAGGCTTAACCTATTGAGCCACCCAGGGGCCGGGAACTGTGCCATTTTAAAGAAGACGGGATCTGTCCCATAGGGACATCATCAGTATGGGCCCTGTGGAAGGTTGAGGTTGGGGATATTCCATGTTACAGGAATAGCAAAGATCTGGGGACCCTGCTTAGACAAAGTGAAACACATTTATTCATTGCGGGGATTCTTAAACATGCTACGTCATGAACATCTGAGTAGGAATATTGCAGGCAGCCTTTATTTCCCAAATGCCTTTGACCATGGAAACCTTTCTCACGGAGGATCTCACAAAATAGAACGAGGACAGAAAAACCGTCCTGGACTGGAGAAGTGCAGATTTCATGGCTAGCGTTTTCTAAAGGAAATTAAATTGAAGGCAGGTGGGAGGTTGTTAAAAATGAAACTCTGTGTCGATGCCTCTGAGTAATTTCAAAAGATAAAAGACATAGGCAGTGGGTTATCTAGGTTGCACATGAGAGAAACCAAATTCAAACAAGCTTAGGCATAAAAGGAATTGTATTGCCCCCAGAATCCAAGGCAAGCTTCAACAGCCAAACAGCGGGCGAGCAAGGATGCAGCATCAGAAAAACCAGGGCTCAGGTGCCCTCGGGGTTCTGCTTCTCCCGCCTCTCTTCTCTCTGAGTCACTTTATTCCTTCTCACTACAGACAGGTCCTTTCCACACATATTTTTTTTTCACACATGGCCGCCAATAGTTTTCTGTTTTACA